TTGTAAATCAACAATTTTACTTTCTCTTTTTAAAACAGGAGCTGCTGTATTTATTTGAAATGAAGTGTATATTTAAACATTTCCTATAGATGTTTTTTTCAAAAATATTATGAAATATTGATTTCTTTAAAGCAAAGAATATTACGACATGTTCGTCCAGGAGACTAGGATAGAGCGCGTTTTACAATGTGCCAAACACTTTCCCGCCAACACCAAAACAAAGAGATTGAAAGAGAAGTTAATGTAGTGGTGGATCTAGAAGGAGTTCGGGGGGGGGGGGGGGGGGGGGTGTAACATCCTCTAAGAGAGAGAGCGAGGAGCCCCACATATTATATATTTGTTGCGTTTTTATTAAGGTAAAACTATAGCTAAGTTTAAACAATTAGTTTTGTACGTTTTATGTAAAAACTACTTAAACAGCAAACTCACAAGAGTTCGTTAAGTTGTACCAAACAGAGTGCAGAGACGCAGAGGACTATGCACAGTTCATATTGCCTATACATGTAATATTGTACATGCATTATTCATGAAGAAAATCGGCATTGTCGCATGCATTTTTTTTTTCATGTCACGAGGATATTTTAACAGAAAAATATAAGAAATTAAAAAAAAAACCCAGCAAATTTCAGTTTCTAAAATAATTTCAACAGTTATATAAATTGGTTTGCGGCCGATTTTTGACGCTTGCGTCAATATGTTTCTTGTTGTTTGTTTGATACTCTGAGAGTCTTTTATCATAGAAAGTTTCATTATTTCTGCATTGGCGCAACTGACGTTTTGAGAATTCTACGATGAACCGTACGCGAATAATTTCCACGCATGTGGCATTACTGTTGTGTTACCCGTTGTCACATGCGTTGCTAAGGCTGAGGGTAATAGAACGGATTGTTAACTGCGTCTAAACCAATCAGATTTTAGTATTTAACATGAAAGTATAATAATTGTAGATACGGAAAAAGCGACAAAGAATTTCGTAGTGTTTTTCTGCTCACTCTTACGAATGAATCCAAATCTTAAGACTTTTCAAGCAATCGGTACACGAGGCAATGATGAATGCTATTCATATCTATTTTCACACGCTCAAAAATTATGTTCTAGTCACAAGAAAGACAATATTGAAAGGAAATTAAAATCTCATTTCGGAGCGATAGATGCGGCCATAAATCATTTGTTATCGGACATATTTGTTAAAGATACAGGTAAAGAGGCTTATAGACAGTCAATCAAATTCGAAGCAGGAACTGGACAGAAAACTGATGGGCCTAAGGGCAACATGGAATTGCCTACAGCAAGTTTTTCATTGCACGGTATTAATTTGTTAAGTATGAAACTGAATTGTTTAAAGCGAATAACGAGATTGGCGGGGTAACCTGTCGTTTTTTGTTTTTTTTTTACAAACCAAGTAGAAAGTACGAACAACAATGTAAAAGACTGGCTTGGCCGCTTAAATAAATTGAGTTTTCCAGTAGCTTACTGTTATATCAAAGAATATGTTTCGTCACAGCAACAAGAGTTTGAAATGGCAATTTACGGAAATGGCCCGTACAAAATAGCTGAGAGTCATGCTCATTTGCGAAAAAATCGTCATAAGTGGATCCCTAACAAACGAGCGCCGATATGCTCTCAAGAGAATTTGGATGTCACCATTGTGTGATATATCCAATACTGAATCAACTACACAATAAACATCAGTTAATACTACAGAGACTGGTATTTCTAAAAGTAGACTGCATCACAGACAGGGGCGGAGAACAGTTTGTCAGTTAGCGTTGATGATATGGACTTCGCCTTTCTTCCAAAGGAGATGCTTAAAGAAATATGGACAAAGACCCAGACGCCGTTCTTATTGCAAACTCGGTCGTGAAAGCTCCATTTTTGATGGCATTTTTGTCCAGCATTCCTCGAGTGAAAATTCATACAAGAGCCCACATTGTATGATAATTTTTAAGAAATCAAATGAAATAGGAAATCCTCTATTGTTCAGCAGAATAGAGAGTCAATGGTTCTAGATTCTTCAACAGATGAAACTCTACAGGCACTTGATGATATAGAGAAAGATGTCAATGAATTTGAAGTAATTTATTTATTTCAAACAAAAGCTCAGTCATTGCTATGCTTGTGGGAAAAAAATCAATTGAGACCAGGAACAAAACATCTGGTTGTGAAAATATATATTGCGAGCGGGAGTACACGTATTTGGAAGAAGAAATCAACATGCTTATTTTCATTTACAAAACCTTTGTTTAAGACCAAAAGACATATGTTGACTTACATGACTTATTCCTGTTCGCTCCGCAGGGAGCATAGGGCCACAACCACACCGCGCCATCGGACTTTGGCGATGCATTTTAATTGGGTCCAGGTAAAACCAGCCTCCTTTTCCTCCATTTCTACGGACCCTTTCCAGGTTTGCCTCGGTCTCCCAACCCTCCTCTTTCCTTGTGGATTCCAAATCACACAGAGCCTGTTTTGTAATGTTATTTGAGGATTTGCGTAAAGTGTGGCTTATCCCACTCATTTTCTCTTCTTTTTGTTTGATATGGTGTCAGGCCATCTGATATTAAGGATATTGCGGAGACATTTATTGATGAAAGACTGTAGTTTGTTGTTGATGGTTTTAGTTACCTTCCAGGTCTCGGAACCATTAAGAGAACTGCTTTAACATTTGTGTTAAAAATCCTGATTTTGTTGTTGATGGAGAGTGCTTTAGAATTCCAGATTTGTCGGAGGGTATTAAAAGTATGTCTTGCCTTGTTAATTCGGCTTTTGACGTCGTCATCTGCACCACAGTCCTTGTTTACGATACTCCACAGATAAGTCAATATGTCGGTTTTTTTGATGTTCTCCCCATTTAACTGAATAGATACCTCTTGTTTGTTGTTGATTCTCATCACCTCTGTTTTCTTAATACAGCTCCGCAAACTTTTTCAGCTCACGTCGTTTTTCGCACAAATTAATGTCACAATTATCTTGCAAGCAATAAAACTGAACATTATCGAACTTCAGTACAAGACATAAGCCTAGTATGTATTAAATATCCTATGTCAAAGGTTCATATTCTTTAAAAGTCGATGTTTTAAAGGTGACCTTATTAATACATGGAAGGATTGAGTGATTGTACACTGTTTAACGTCCCTCTCCAGAATATTTCACTGATATGGAGACGTCACCACTGCCGGTGAAGGGCTGCAAATTTAGGCCTATGCTTGGAACTCAGGGCCTTTGAGCAGGGAGGGTTCTTTATCGTGCCACACCTGCTGTGACACGGGGCCTTGGTTTATACGGTCTCATCCGAAGGACCGCCCCATTTAGTCGCCTTTTACGACAAGCAAAGGGGTACTGAGGACCTATTCTAACCCGGATCCCCACGGGACTACATGGAAGGACGTTACATCGTTACATGGAAGGACGTTACATCTGTTGTATGATTCTACCTTAGGTATTTACAAACTAAATTAATCGAGCTTTTCTTTGATACTACTTAGTTGAAACATTCAAATTGCTTTCTTAAAATGGGTATATTTCTTAAGTATCTTCAAAGTTTCCCAACATGCCTTGGTTTTAAAGAAATATAGCGCCGAAAAATTACAATGCTGGATAAGGAAATCATGCCAAAGGATAGAATGATAAAGTAATTTTTATCTTTTATAATAAAATATTATTGCTATTGAGAAGAATATTCCTTTACATTTAAGGTCTGAATTTGGAAAAGACATCCTTGCTTATCATAACAATGAATGTAGTTAGTTTGTTTAATACCCAGGAGCAGAGGAGAAGACTTTCAAAGAATTAATGCATTTTCGCAATATTATTTATATACCCCATGATACTACAGCCCCTGAGACCATGAAATTCACAATTTTGGAAAAGGCACCCTTGCTCATCATGTAGTTAGTTTGTTTAATACCCAGGAGCAGAGAAGATTTTCAAAAACTTAATGCATTTTCACTACATTATCTATATAGCACCTCCTTAAAACCAGACGCCTGACCCTGGGGCCAAGGAAATCAATCCAGTTATTATATTACTGTCTCGGCGTTCTGTATGTGTAGAGGTGCTGCAAGGCAGTTGTAATCGTCTTGACCTTTAATATTAACTATTTGAAAAGCCAAATGGACTCTAAATTGTTTAGTCGAAGGGAATTTCATGAAAATCAGTCACTGTGACTGAAATAAAATTATATTGTAAATGGCCTTGATTTAATGGGTGGTGTCTTCCTAACAAACGGACCTGAACAATTGTGACCCCAAAAAAGTCAAGCCATTGTATTTTATCCAAATATTTATTTTGAAATGGTACATATATAGGTGATAGAATATGTCTCAATAGTTCACTTACATGAATGGTAATTAAATCGAGCAACATACCAAACATTAAATTGACAATTTCAAAGAGTTGTGGACTTCCCTTAAAAAGTTGGGACATTTAAATTTCAATACAGCTTTATATGGTCTTTTCCGGTAGTTTTAATCTACATCCGATTATAGGTCTGTGGAGTGTACACCGTTTCGCCGTGCTAAACAAGGCAGGTAGATGACCATAACAATTCTGAGTTGGTTTACGGATTGTTTTACTTGTTTCGTTTTATTCCATGGAAATTTACCCGTCTAAAAGGTGTGAGCAATGTTTGTAATATTAGTACTATCTCAACACTAGGAATAAGGAATTAACACCAAGATACACTATGATCCCTTCAAAATTGTTGAGATTGTGTCGGTACACTACATATATAGTGTTTGTGTTGCTTGTGGTTGCGATTGTTGTTACTTTTCTCGATGAGAGAAAAGTGAGCAAAATTAGACAGACTCTTAACATAAGTGGAAGTGCAAACTTGCTCATGTTAGGTCGAGTAAGGGGCATGTTGGACGAATCCAAAAAGTCACGTGTGTTACAGTGGCGCGGAGAGTGGGTAGAGAACGAAGACGTTTGTGACCCGACACGGCCTCCACTTAACGTGGTGTCCTATAGACTGCATTCTGGGAAAACGCCGTTCGTTATTTATGGCGTTGGAAAAAGAGGAAAATGATAGTCTTTCTCGAAAAATGGTAGACCTGAGTTACAAATTTTCAATGAAAGTAGATGATTATATTTCAGTGTACTTGGAAAATTTCCCTTCAACTGTTTTTATTGACATTGGGGCAAGTATTGGAGTGACGTCATTACGTATGGCGCGAAATGGTCATGATGTGATTGCTGTGGAGTCGGATTATGATAATGTCCGAGGACTGTGTATGTCTATCGCCGAAAATGGAGCGACAGATTCTGTAAGGATTGTATACCATTCTGTAGGAGAGGAGGTTATGTCTTTTAACGAAGACAAACATAGCGAAAATATAATCACTGTAGACAGAATACTAACACTTTCTAATAGAAACTTGCTGGTTAAAATAGACACAGACGGAAGTGAACACAGTGTGCTCCTTGGAAGCAAATACCTCTTGATGAATAAACGGACACGTGCAATAGTGCTAGCATGGGAAACACATAAAGGGCAACGAAGTGGAGAGATACTTTTATCATTATTTAGCACGTGGGGGTTTATGCCGCATGCTTTCCGGGGTTCGGGGGCGGTCAGACTGGATATGAAGGGACACGCCCCCTCAACCTGGCCCAGTGATGTTATATGGCTACCCACTGAATAAAACTCATGCTAAAATCAATAATCCCTAACTTACAAATATTTTAATAAATGAAAATTTGTATATATAACTGACCGTTAGGAATAATTATAATAAGTCTTAGAAAGGGAGTAAATCAGATATGGATATATATCACTTTTAGACAATCTCACCAAAGCTATACCATCAAAACTTACGAATTAAAGTCCAGGGTTCATAGATAGCTGCTTTTTCAATAAAAATGGAACTCGTAATTTTACCTTTCTTGTCATTGGTTTGAAAAATTATTGTTTTAAGCATTCTAATGTTCCATAATTAATCTGTTCAAAGTTGTTATAAAAAGGTTGATTTTCCGATTGACAGTTCTCGTATCTATGTATTTTTTTTAGCGACAGGTCTTCAAATCTAATGGAATTCTCACGAGTACCAACTACGCTTTGTTATTAGCAAACCTATTTTTATATTTATGTGAAAAAGTTTTTAAAAAATACGTGTTCATAATAGGAAGAAATTATTTATTTTGGCCTTCATTCCAACATTTATATACATCGACTATGTATCATCAGTTAATGAAAGTTACTTCCATACATATGTCGACTCACTATACCCCAGTGAACTTGAAATAAAAGATATCACAGTGTCTGGTGTATCTGTTTTATCTTTGGATTTTCCGCTAGAAAAAGATGTTAATGGTTACCTGACAATAAATCTTTATAATAAACACAATGTGAAAGAAGGATATGGAAATAACGAACAGTATTCAATCTCGACGTCCATTAAACAATATACAAAATAAGAGCAGAGCAAACACGGACCTCCGAAACATCAGAGGTGGGATCAGGTGCCATGGAGAAGTGAGCATCCCTTGCCAACCGGTCACACCCGCCGTTGCTCGTTGTCATGATCAGGAAATAACGAAAAAAATCCGTCGTCAATTCAGTGTATAAATAATGTAACAATTGGTAAAAAACGTGGTTACCTGACAATAAATTTACTTGACTTTAAACGAGACTGTTGATATATTTGTTTCATCACACAATGTTCATACGAAACTTTTCTTTTATGAACTTCCATTTTCTTTCGAAGCAATTAATATACCCTTATCATCTGCACGAGGTTTATATTTCTTAGTCGATTCGATACGTTCTCTAGTTGATACATTGAGCTTGTCAGCAAACGTATTAATATCCCAAACATTAAAATCTTTCATAGACCTAAATCTACTTTTATGTCTATGCATATTTATTACATTTTTATTTTAGCCTATTTATCTCGTTGAAGCAAGATATGAAAAATTAGGCTAGATTTGATGATCTGCATCTGTCATCCCGACGTGATCTTGCAATTTGGAGAGAGAGAGAGAGAATATACCATTATTTGTGATTAGATGTGACTTACTACCATGAATAAGGTGTTTTCTTGTTTAATCACACTGAAGTGTTATATAACCTATGCAAGATTAAACCAACTGACGACCGAGGTAATTTTCACATATGTTTAATCTGGAGCACATATTACACTCACAAATATACCCAAGCAGAACAGATATTCTCTCTCTCAGTCTTCTCAAACCACGTGTTCTCTTCGACCAACAGACGACAACTCTCTCACGCATGCGCACTTACAAGCGGTTCCATATACATCCGTTCCCTTACACATTCACACCACACTACACTCCCCTCCCTTCTAAAAGAAGGTACTCCTGTACCTTGTGTAAATATCAACCAAACACTTATATGATTGTGAAAATAAACAGTGATCCTGAAAGATTCTATGATAAAGTGAAG